TCTCAATCAATCGTTTTATTAATTTTCAGTCCAAAGACGTGTTATAGCAGTGTTCATAAAGAGGGGTGTTTTCCTGTAAATAATGTTGCTTTATGATACACTAACATATAGTAAGAAAATATCTTCCACAACATTTAAAGTAATGTACTGAAATGGATCTAGAATCATCAGCAAAACTATTTTACCACGACAAAAATAACAATATTTCAATACAGTTCAAACATTTCAGAGTAAAATTACAGGGAACGAAAGTATATATTCACATATTTTCTTGAAACTCGCATTTCAGCAAACCGCGATCGATCTCATCAAAAATCAATTAATAGCGAAGGTTTTCCTCTTACATTGAGCCTGACAAATCCCAATTTTTGGCGCGGATTGGTAAACTTAGCCTCACCAAACGAATCGTTCAATTTTTTTCTAAAAATAGGAAACAAAGAAACTTTTTAGTTCATGTTTTGGGTATGAAGCGCATCAATCCTAGACTCGTACCAAAGACCTTGTTTTTGCAAAGACGACGTTGAGTAGAGATCGCCAAAAATTGCTTGACTACTATAGCTGAGGATCCGAGATTCATCAAGCGTATTATAACTGGTGTGATACGTGTTTTATTAATATCAGGACGTAGCTGTCCAAAGAATCTAGCTACTGGTGCTCCTAAAATTCGCTGCAGCCAATGAAGGCCATTCGTGCCGAGGCTTATAACAAGTGTATGAAAATTGGATTAAGCATTGGCATGCTCTGATTGGCACAAAAGAGACTATTTTGAAGCCGATAATGAAGACTTGTATTAAAATATGTGAAAAGGGTTTTTTTGGTTAGAAAGCAATTTATAACGAACATTGAGAGCGACAAATTGCATATAACTACCTAAAAGACGAGGGAGATGTAACATTTTAATATTAACAAAATGTTTGTACATGGAACTTCTAGACCCTAAACTTTTTTATTAACGCCTTTGTGCTTACCTTCTTAAATAATTATCCGAATATATGTACATATGTACATATGTATAAGTAATAAAATAAAAGTATGTTTGTTCGATCTTTGAACTGTTCAACTATTTCCTCTATTATAATCATGACCACACTGGGATTCACTTTAACTTTTACATACATATGTATATACGTATATGTATGTATATTTTTGTACAGCAAGCGGTTTATAGGCGGAATTCTCCAATTATTTTTTATAGAGCTGACTTCGGTGAGCAGTTTGCTGGCGTCAATAAACAGCTGATAAAAGCTACAACGATCTCTGAAGCTACAACGATGACTGAATGTTCTACAAGCTACTACTATGTTTAATTCTATATGTATACATACTTATGTGTCTGTATATATAATAATATTGATAAATGATCATAACATTTAAATCGATTGATATGATTGAACTTCTCTAATATTCACATATGGTTGTAGTATATACTATATGGGTTTGAATATGGTAAATAAGGTTAACTAAATAGCTCATGGGAGTAAATATGTGAATTATTTATGTACTTATTTATAAAAAGTAAAACAAAAGCTTACACATGTATCTACAAGTATATATTATATGTATGGTATATTTATTGTTATATTTGTCTCTGAGCACACAAGAGAGCCTACGCTTTAAAAATGTACAGCTCATTACCAGAAGTGCAAAGAGAAAAGGGTGGCAGCACGCAGTGTTAGAAGAGCATAACTGGTTCCGGTATGTCAAGTGATAAAGCCAAATGCTTGAGGGTTTCCCCAAAACGTACAAAAAAATCGGAAACGTACATTATACTGTTGCCAAGAATAGCATAACAGGGGGTGTGTTGCTGCATATTGATAAGGCGTGTAATAAACTTTTATATTTATATTTATATTCAACTGTACATACACGAATATACAGTTGAAGGTGTGTATGTGTGTGATTATGGATTTCAATAAATCAGCACGCATTTATCACACTACAGGTAGTAACACCATTACGGGTTTCGTACCTCCTGTCAAGGTGTAGACACCTGCAAACTGCATATTTGTTTTATATATATATATATTTTTTTTTCAAACAAAAATATCCAGCGACTTTCAATTAGTGTGAGACAAAGTAAATGCCTAAATGAGTATCATTGATTTATATACATATTTACATACATATGTATGTATAAGCAGGTGCTTATTGTTGACTTCAGCGTATTGTCATCAGCTCATTCATGATCACGCTTCTCGCCGTTTGTTGTTGGATAATGTCAGTCGAATTCTATTTTTGAATTTGCATATTTAGTTGATTGGCGTGCAAATTTTTCTGTTTATTATACCCTGAACAGAGTATATTAAGTTTTGCACGAAGTTTGTAATACACAGAAATTTCGAAGACACTAAAAAATATATATGTAATAAATATACAAATTTATATATATACATAGATACGTTTACATAAATGTGCGGCATATCGAGCTAGGCGCATCTGTATATTAGCGAACTAGTCTCTCAGTTCTGGACATATCGATTTGAAAGCCAAAAAGCTGCTAATTTGTTAGAACCACCAATATCGGAACACTTTAAGCTATAGCTGACATGCAATCCGACCGATCAAAATAAAGTCTTTATATGGCAAGCTTTTTTATTTGAGGATATAACTTTCACGAAATTTGGCACATTTACCAAAGCATATTATAGCATAGATGTATGTAGCTGTCATATAAACTAAACGATTAAAATCAATTTCTTGGTTAAAAATGTTTGTATTTGTGAAGGGTATTATAGCTTCAAGGCTGCCGAAGTTAACGCTTTGTCTTGTTGTTTTAATTTTTTTGACTACACCCTAACATTTCTACTGAGGAAAATTTTCGCAATTATATTGCAATGAACTGTTATAACATTTACTATTATCACCACTTTGTGAAATCATGCAGTTGTAATTTACAATAAAAGCCTTTATTGCCCTTTTCTGTGTACATATGTGAGTATGTATGTTCATATCTGTGTATGTGTGACAACTTATAAATGAATGACTTGATATTTTTCAGTAATTAACTGCGTTCTTATGTAAAAAATGTAAACATTAGCTTAATAGTTTGTGCATACACACGTGTTCAGAAAAACAAATTTGTATTTTCATTGTTTCAGGAATTTGACCATTTATTCTGGAGACAAGAAAAATATAAGAAAAAATGTTTGCTTTGGTTGCACTAAAGCTATAATATCCTTCATACTACTTGATTCCGCTTGTGCAATTTGTATGGCGGTCAGGTGCTAAATTAAAGCTCAATATCACAAAAGAACCAATTACAGATTTTGATTTTGTGATGACTAGGAAACCACACAAATGGGTATGACATCACAAATGCATTTGCCTATATTAGAAATACATATGAATAGGTCTTAACGTAAACGCACTAAAATGGTGTAAAATCTAAAATGAAATATACCTTTCTTCACATTTTTAACTTTAAAAGGTAATATCAACAACTTCAGATGACTCTGAAAAACGAGCGGTTCATCGTATGTACGTATGTGTATGAACAACTGATAATAATTTGACTTTATTAGTTCAGAAATTTTTATTTTGCATATGAAGAGAATTTCTGCCATATGGCCACCGCGAGCGGTTCAATTTTAAACAACTTCTTTAAGCATAAGTAATAATGAACCATTTCCAGAACGAGTTACATACCCAACCCTAACAAAAAGTTTAACGGAGTAAAACCACGTGACTTAGTTGTACATTGTACACATTAATTTTTGGTTGATAACATTCTGACAATTTACTGACAAAGAAAGCGAAGGTCACACAAGCCATATATGTACATACCTATATCCATATGTATATACTTATGTATGTATGTAACTTATTACTCTCTCAGCTAAAATCATTTAGCATTAAGACGATTGAAATTGAAATGGAGCAACCAAAAAGTGGGTCCTTGGTACACACTTATTAATTAAAACTGTACAATAGGTTGTATAGAATATTAATTTATTTTATGTGAAATCGAAATTATTGGCTTTCGTTATGTGTGGTGCTAATGCATAATATTCAGGTATTTTAAGCGTCAACAGTTGTTCTTGAATTCATCGTATTTGTATAAACGATGTTATACTGCATGCTGTTTGCCTTTCGCTTATATGATTACTTTGCCAATTAAATGGCAATTGGTTCCATAGTGTAGCGGTTATCACGTCTGCTTTACACGCAGAAGGTCTCCAGTTCGACCCTGGATGGAACCAAGTGAAGTTTTTTTTTTTTTTTAATAATTTTGAAATTATTAAACTTATTTTGTTTTATTATATTTCAAAAATTATTTTATATTATAGTTGTCACTTTCAATATATTTTTGATACTTAATCACGTACATTAGTATATTATAAATATGAAAATGTTTTCTACATTTAAAAAGAATCTCGAATAATTATATGAATTTCAAATTTTTTTTACTCTGCCAAAAGTGAGTACACATAGTACGAGTATACATATGTATGTACATATATTTTAAACCTACTTGTTATTTTCAGGTAGATACATGCATACATGAATGTATATACTTTTGGGGTAGCTGTGTTTCTACCCTGCACATATTTTTCATTCGTCACATGCATTCCACAAAAAGTTCTCATTCGGTTTATTGAATTTAGAAGTTAAATAGTTTAAATTGTGTATTGAAAGTTATCGCTTCTCGGCCTCAAGGCTAAGATCAAAGTGTAGTATCTGTTCTTATCAGCTTAACATCTGATAGATCCTCCATCGGAGGACAACAAATGTTAAACTGATTTTTGGAAATGGACGGAGTGTTTTAGGAGCTTGCTCCACCTCTGTCACGGGTTGGCCCGGTATTGCAGTACCACCGGGATTTCGGCCCAAATAATAAATACATAAAACTATTTTATTAATAACGTTTAATAGCGAAAGATTTCAATGACTGCCTTTTAAGAAGTTTTGTTCCAAACCGTTGACAAACTTTAAAAATAGTGTTTTGCAATGAAGTTTCGTTAAGTGTTGTACCGCTGTGCAGACGTAGACACAGTAGAACGATTTTCATCGCAGTTAGTGTATATTCGCGCTCAAAGATTTCACAAACCAAACCAAATACAAACGATTTAATATTGCCAACGCCAACGCAAACATTTTTTTTGGGAATTCTAGAGATTTTTATCTAAATAAAAATAACTCTATCTCAAAAATCGTCTGGTGTGCGAGATTTTGCCGTCGCCGCGTTTTGTGTTCATATTCATATACAATCGTGTGTTCTAGTCGCCGAGTAGACGAATATTCTCGTCGCCCGTATTGTGTTTTGTTTAAGCTGTAAAAAGTCGTTCTTGATCGGATTTGTGACTAGTTGATGAAAAATTACGACACCTCTGAACGTGAGAAAAGCATGTGCCAACCAAATCAACGGAAAAGCTCTGTATTTAGTGGGTCCAAAAGAGCATGACAAGTACGGGCTCCTAAAACTCGGTTCTTTGTTAAAGCTACATATATTTATTTGATGTGATATTCATTCTAACTGACGGCGTCCTGAATCGACCAGAACAAATGGTAGTCAGAAGGGGGGCAAGTCTAAGCGGGTGAGGCAAAAAACCGCCGCATTTTTCTAAAAAGTTTTTAACCGGTTTTGCAACAGGCCGACTTGTCCTTATTGCCTCAGTCTAGTCTCAAACACCTCCACTAACCGTCAATTAAGTTCTAAAAAAGTTCCAAAAACAACTAGAAACAGAAAACTTTTGTCTGCGATGGAAAAGTCGCAAAATGTGCCCTTTATTCTTGTACTCGGCACTTTAACTTTTCTCTAAATTAAAATAATGAAATACTATGCATACAGGGGTGTTGTGGGAATCCAAGACAGATTCGCGTAGTTATCAGAATTGCAAACCAATTCTGATTTTCAATGGTGTCACAGATCTGATTGGATTTTCGTCTTTTTGTGAACATATGCAAAACCAATATTCAAATCAGCTGTTTACTATTGTGACAAAACTTGCAAATGAATAAATTTGGAGGTGTTTGATAAATTTGAAATACCGAATAAAGTCTACTAAAGTTTACAATGAGTTACGCTATTTTAGCTTTTATTTTATTGTTTTTTATTATGTGATATGCATTCCAACTGACAGCGACCTGAACAAATGGTACTCAGAAGGGGGGCAAGTCTGGGCGGGTGAGGCAAAAAACAGCCGCAGTTTTCTAAAAAGTTTTAATCGGTTTTGCAACAGGCCGACGTTGTCTTGTTGAAAAATTATTGCCTCGGTCCAGTCGCAAACGCCTCGACTAACCGTCATATTAGTTCCAAAAACAACAGAAACAGAAAACTTTTGTCTGCGATGGAAAAGTCGAAAAATTGTGCCCTTTATTCTTGTACTCATAACAACGCATTTGCGTGTTAAATTACAGTTTGTAAATCCTCTCAAATAGTTTGTCACATAAACTCATAATTATGACATTTTGTTTTATTTTTATGTTTTTCCCTAAAGAAATAACAATAAATTAAATCGTAACAAATACAATTTATTTTCTAACTTACATTTCAAGCCTGTCGGTGAATTGCTTTGCGCTTCTGATAACAAACCGATAAAATTTCTGTTTCGAACATAAATAATATCTGAAATTCATGACGCTACTACATTTTCATATCGGTTTCCATTCTGCTTTCGATAACTATCAGAATCTTGCAACACCCCTGATAATAATATCCTCATCGTTTATTTCAATAAAAGCGACAAAATCCCTTCCATTTACTTATTTCCATATTATACATTCAACAATGTCGGGACGGCGCGAACGCCATTCCCGGCTACCAAAAATTACACGCACGAGTTATTCGCATTAGGAATAATCGCGGGGGTCAACTCAACCGAAGGTGCAATGGTCAAGCCTCACTCCGGAGGAACCGCCTTCATGATCACGGTAACCTCTACGCCAGGTAAGTATGCTTTATTTCGCAAATGTCCAATGTTTTCAATTCACAATTCGTTAACATTTCTGAGAATTCGAAGACCGTTTATACGAGTGAATGAAAACTTATATACATATATTCAAGATTGGTGGTTGCGTTTCAACAAAACAAATCGCTGCTCACAACGCAATGTGTACTTCTACCAGAGAACGTTAATTTATATTCGCTGCTTCTACCATAAGCCTTATATTAAATAAATATAGTTTAAAAAAACTTTAATTTATTTAAACTTTAATTACTTTAAATTGAGGAAAAGGCTTAGGGCGATTATTATTATACTAGTATTTTTTATATACTATTTTTTTAAGTTAATTTTTAAAATTATTTTCAACTTTTTCGTTCGATATTCTTTAAAAGCGTTTTTTTTTTAGTGTTTTTAAACTATATTTATTTATATTTTATTATTTTTTAATAAATAGTAGCTGTAGCTATCTACACTATGTACATTTTCGGACGAAGTATCACAGTATGTAATGTATGACCAATATATGGTATGACTCATCGTTATGAACTCGATTGTATTTCATATTTTCTCGGCTCTTTTTACCAGAATTCTATCATCTTATAATTGTGTCTTGCTAAAAATATAAATGAAATTTTTCAATTAATCATTTTAGACACAGTTGTATGAACTTGTGCTTGATGATTTGTGAATCGATATTATATTATTGGCGACCAAATAGGTATTTCAATCGGATTATCAGCGGTAACAAATTTCCACTCATCTTCGGTGGCGTTTTCAACATCAACTTCGCTGATAAAAAGTCAGAGCGGTTGATAAATTTTCTTTCGGAAAGATTGAATTTGAAAATGAATATTGATCCACAAGATATGGAATCCCAAGCAAGAATCCACTAAAATATGGAAACACCATTCACGCGGTATTTTCCAGATATTTAGAGGATGTCAAGTCTCAAACTTATGCATCTTATTTCAGTTACCATAAAACTATAGTTTCATAATAAAATCCTGAATAGTCTAAGTCTCTGTAAATAATAAAAATATTTTAAGCAATACTAACTTCTATTATTCAATTCTTTTATTTTTATTAATTCCATTTTTGATCTGCCTTTAAAAATTTTATCCTAAATATTATAAATTTTGTTGTCCGTTCAGTTGATTTGTTCCTTTGAGATGCCAAAATATGCCTAAAAGTATGCAAACATTTAGTTACAAACAGACATACAAGTACAAACTAATAGCTGTAATTATCGATGGGTTATTTAACAAAAAAACTACTTTTTCCTGATTCGGATTGAATTTATTCTTATTTTTTATTAAATAATTTTGTTTATAATAAAATAACTTTAAATAAGTTAAGACAAATTCATATCATAAAATTGAAAAATTACAGGGTAGTAGTCCTCGATGGTTTTTTAGTTAAAGTCCCAGTTTTACAAAATATATTCACCCGTATGAATCAAGATAATTTTGAAGGCACAAGAGTTCTGAAAGAAAAAAAACGCTGTAAATGACATAATATTTAATGACTGAAAAGTTTTATATTATATGTTTTTATATATTGATGCAGGCGTCACAACTTTGTTTTACGTCGATGACGGCGTACTTATTTCTGACTCGTCGAGGAATGACATCCCTTATCCGGGCCGCGGAGGAAGGAGCTGCTGCGGTAGGCCTGACATTCAAACCCGGCGAAGTTGCTTCACTACACTTGTCGGGGAGAATGGCGCACTGCCAACGCATTTCCAATCCAGGGTAACCTGATGCGCCCTCAAAATGAGGAGGCCTACGAACACCTGGGCATCTCAATAGGTTACCAGGTCCGCCAAGTTCCCGTTAACACCTTATTGGGCTGATTGCAGACGCCAATGCAATCGATGGCTCTCTCCGAGGCTTGACTTCATCATGCAGGAG